CCAGCAATGCCCAGCCGCTGTTGACTGACATTGGGTGTCCTCTTCAAATTCCTATGTTAAAATTGTGATTTTCAGTGTGATGACATTAGGGCTTGGAGCCTTTGGGACGTGATTGGTTCAGCAGGACAGAGCCTTCATGAATGCTATTAACTCTCTTGTAAAGGATTACTTGGAGTGCTCCCTGGCTCCTTCCACTATGTAAGGATGCAGGAATAGATTGTCGTCTATGAATCAGGAAGTGGCACACCAGAACTGCTGGTAACTTGATCTTATAGTTCCCAGTTTCTAAGTCTGTAAGAAATGAGTTGGTGATTTTTATTTTTGCCTTTTTTAAAATGAGCCACCTGGTTTATAGTATTTTTGTTACAGCAGTCTGAATGACCTAAAACAACAACTTTTGTCACCTAGAGGTTTTATTATATCTATTTTACACACACTCTCTCTCTCTCATCTCTCTCTCTTCAAGTGGTATGTGAGAATATCTACAAGGGCATTTTTGTCACAATGTCTAGGGATGCTGTTGTCACTCAGTGCCTAGGATCTATGTATGCTATGACTCTGCAACGTGAAAGAGATAACAGTGTAGATTTTCCTCTGTCAGAATGGCCAGTATTCTCCCAGAAAGACTGGAACACTTTGAGGCTATTTATTTTCAATAAAGCCTGTGAAGATATGTGCTAAGGAAGGCTGGGGAAAGGCCCTCATAGGCTCACTGGGCACAGCTTGGTGGCAAGAACATCCATCCATTTGGAATAAAGAAGGATGATCCTTCCCTAGTCTTTCTTATCTTTTTAGGGTAGAATTCTACAGATGAAGTGGACTTTTATTTATTAATCAAGTCTAATCGTAGTGCCTTCCTTACCGTGCATATTAAATGTACATATTGTGACATTTCCATATATGCATATCATGTACTTTGTTCTAAATCATCCCCTTTATTATTTCTTTAACTTCCTCTTTCACATAGTTTCTAATGGGATTATCCTATATTTTGTACTTGAATATAAAGTACATCCAACGTATTTATTCTTAATTATATCAATCATATTTTTTAGGTCTAGATTCCATGTTTGTGAGAGGACATGCCATATTTATCTTTCCCAGTCTGGTTTATTTCACTTAATAAGTGAAATAAATTTACCCATTTTCCTACAAATGATATTATTTCCTTCTCTTTTATGGCAGAATAATATTATATACATATACATATATATATATATAATTTTATTTACATATTCATCAGTCAATGGGCACCTAGCCTGATTCCTATATATGTTGCTATAGATGTGGGTATGCTCACTCACATTTTTTTTAGTGATATGTATAAAGCTGTTTTTAGAAGTTTACCTTAGATAGTCTTCCCAATATTTTCTTCTACTACTTCTTTTCTTCTACTGCAATCTTCTGGCCTGGCTAGATCACCATCTGTTGGGCACCATTGTTGCTCAGAGCTGAGGTCATCCTCAGCCTGTCTGTGGCAGGCTAGGCTGATGCCCTGCAATGGCTAGCCCCCCTTGGAGCTATGACAATTGGTATTTGTTGCCCTCAGCTAATTCCCAAAGCTCAGCTTGTGGTCATGAGTCAAAGATATAATGTCACTTTTTACTATTATTTTATTGACATACCAAACAAAATCTTTTTTTTTTTTGGTCAGTTGTGGGTGGGGCTTGAACTCTGGGCCTGGACGCTGTCCCTCAGCTCTTCAGCTCAAGGCTAGCGCTCTACCACTTTACTACAGGGTTACTTCTAGTTTTCTGGTGGATTATTGGAGATAAGAGTTTCATGGACTTTCCTGCCTGGGCTGGCTTTGAACCATGATCCTCAGATCTCAGCCTCATGAGTAGCTAGGATTATAAGCGTGAGCCACCAGCATCCCACTCCAAACAAAATCTTAATGAAGAAAAGAAATAATGCCTAGTTAAACAGAAATACCATAGCTGATAGTAAAATGAATTCATTTAATAATAGTAGATGCTTCAGAGGAGGAATTTTGACACAAAGAAAAGGTCCATACCAACATAACAAAATATCACTCTGGAAATTATAGTATTTCAACATGGCTTATTAGACACTTTCTTTTCCTGCTCTTTCTTTCTTTTTTTTTTGTATCAGTCCTGGCACCACACTCAAGGCCTGGGCACTGTCCCTAAGGTGTTTTGCTTAAGGCTAGTGCTCTACCACTAGAACCATAGCGCCAGTTGCAGCTTTTTTGACAGTTACAGTAATTAGAAATAAGTCTCATGCATCACATCAACAGGAGCAAGAATAAGAACCACATGGTTATCTCAATAGATGCAGAAAAAGCATTCGACAAGATCCAACACCCCTTCATGATGAAG